CCCCAAAACCCCAAAACCCCAAAACCCCGTTCGGAATCAATAATGATTATGTGAGAAATTGTATAATATAAATAATAATAAAGATGCTTTCTTAAATCGCAAAGCAGAGAACTCTCAGCCTCCTTGGCTTCAATAACAAACTTGTAGCCACCTCAATGAGACTCATCAGCTCAAGTAAATCCCACATTCCAAGTTTTACACCTATTCCCTATAGAGGCCACACACTAAAAGGAGACCGACAAGGTTAAGTTGAGAGGAAAATTCCTCAAGGGAAAACGCCAAGATCTCCCAACTATGATATGGTTGGCTGATTTGCTCGAACCAGCAGAGAACTTCACTAAGTTTTTCACCAGGGAAGATAATAAGATCAGCGAGGTCAGAAACGTATGGCTCCTCAACTACAGAAACTTCGGAGACTCTGATCATCATGATTCCTTCGCACTTGAGGTAAGTTTTATATTAATCTGCATTCGATTCAATAATGATATATTGACATTCTCTTGAGTGATATTGAGAGAAAAAAATACATAAAATGGATGCATTGTTGTTTTTATAAATTTTGATGCTAATAATCATGAATATAGGATATGTCAAATGATATTGTCAGATTTATGGATGAGAACTAGATCACCCTTGCCAGTATTGGAGGTCATGGTTTCGGTGCCAAGGTCGCCACTGCTACTGCTATTAATCACACCAATAGATTCACTGGTGTTATTTGTCTCGAAGGTGGTCCAGTCAATCACAAATATCACGAAAGCCATCAAGAGCTTGTCTCATATATCGAAGCTGTTAGAAACCTCAACATTGAGAAATTATCATCAGCTGAGGCTTTGAAGAAAGTATCAGAAAGAATCGCTCACCCTAAGTGGAGATAAATTATTCTGTAAAACATCCTTACTGACAGAGGAAACTTGCAATGGTAATGCAACCTCGAGGGTCTTTACCACAATGTGAGAAAGAACTTGTCTGATGTTTCTCACTGGGGAGATTCATACGGTCTATGGCCAGGCCAAACTCTAGCCATCTTCGCTGCTCACTCCAGATGGATTCATTTAGCAACAAACACTCTTCCATTCTACAATGTCTTCCCAAGACTTGAAGGTAGATTCCCAGATAGAATTAATACTCATGCTGATGAGTTCGACTCACCCCTTAACCATTGGCTACACGAGGACCCAGATGAAAGCAACGTCTGGAGACTCTCATAAAAGATGCACAAATTCCTCAGATGGAATGATGGAGCTAACCTCCTTTTGGCTGACAAGTCAGAGGCTGGTTGGTATTATGTTCCAGACAGAGGTTTCGATACCATTACAAACACAATTCACGGTGAGTACACCCCAGAGCATGTTCACCACAACTATCTATATACTAAAGAGTACGAAAAATCAAGAGAAACAAGAGGAAAGGAGGGTGCTGGTCACGGTCAATTCTTGCCAGTCGGTCAATTCTCTCCCAAGGACAAATGGTTTTGAGCTTTATCGAAGCATTGCAGCAATCAAAAGCTCTATTATTTAAATTTAATCATGATTAATTCCTTAAGCTATGTATTAGATGAACTATGGGGTTT